TGTGAGATTGTTAACCATTGTCATAGGGCAACATTTGTAGTAACTGTTAAATGTGAAACTATTTTGTTCTGTAAGCTTTCATCTTAAGTGAGAATAACAGCACAATTGGAAGAGGGTAGTCAATGTCACTGAACTGTGTATGTAGAAATTTTTGAAACGGTGTATCTTTGGCTATGCGTATTTTCACCAAAAAAAAAAAAAGGTTTAGAATTTAGAGGGTTAACATGTTGTGGGGTTGTTAACCAATGTCATAAAACAAAATGTGTACTACTGTTTCATGAGAAACTATTTGTCCTGTAAGCCTTCACCTGAAGTACAATAAAATATAAAAAAAAAAAAAAGTGAAAAAGAGTCCCCACATTTAAAAATATATATAATATATAATTCTACCTTTATTAATCCTTATCATCACTCTTCCTGCTTCTAATTAGACATCTTCTATTCTCCTAAATTTACTGATATATTTCACCAACCCAATTCAATAACAAGTTCTAAATGTTCATTACACATTGCTTAAAACAATTTTTCCTTTATTCTTACTGTTCTCAGAATTATATACTTTAAACCGTATCAGACTGCTTCACATAAGATCACAAGAACTTTTTAAAAAATAAACAACTGGTTCCAAGGAAGGAAAGTACATGCCTAGGAGAAAAACCACAGGAACCAAAAAGGAGATTTAAGTCATGTAATTTCTCATGCGCTAATTGTATCACAATGCCTAATTCCCGGCGGGCATAATTCATGAGTTGTAGTTTTTAACAAATTTTGTGCTCATCTGAGATGTACATATGAAATTTTAAATAAGAAAACAATACTATTCTCAAAGCTTACATACATCATAACAAAGGAACTGGTAAGTTTACCTGAACAGGAAGTGTCATGTGAAACGTTCAAAGGTGACAGACACAGAGAGTTAACCGGACTATCCTGAGAATTCTCAATCACTTGGGAAGCTGAAAACATAATTAAAACATTTCATTAGATACTACTTTACTATTTTTAGTAGGTGACGTCAACAGGAAATAATTCATTCCACTCTTACATATTAAACACTCATCAACTTATTTCTTATACTTCCTATTCCAGACAATACAAAACAACAAACACAAAAAAACTCACTCAAATCTATTACAGATGATGAGAATCATAAAAAATATTCTATATAAGGAAGCCATATTATTTTTTTTTTAAAGCATAAAGTCACAGAATCATAAAAGTTAGAAGGGACCTTGAAAAGCCAATTTGCCTGTCGCCAGGCAGGAGCTCAACAAAGTTAAACCAATACTTTCAATCAGTCTTACCACTTGATAATGATGGCGTCTTCTCCAAGCACGGTCCTAACAGTTACTTCCATAACTAGAACAGTGGTTCTCAATCAGGGCAATTTTTGCCCCAGGGGACATTTGGCAATGTCTGGAGACATATGTGATTTTCACAACTCTGAAGGTGTGAGGGGAGGAAGTCCCACTGACAGACAGTAGGTAGAGGCCAGGAATGCAGCTAAACACTCTACAGTGCACAAGGCAGTCCTCCACAACAAAGAAGGATCCACCCCGAAATGCTATTGGCGCCAAGGCTGAGAAATCTCAGAGGTGTTATAGAAAACATCCATGATATTACTGATTTTACAAATATGATCATAAATGTTCTCTTCAAAGGCTGTGTATGCAACTAAAAAGAAACAACTAAAAAGAAACAAAAGAAATGCTTTGTTCTCATACTGAAAGATATTTAAAAGATTCAAAATAGATACTTTCCTAAGTAAACTTAAGCAAACAATTGTAAAAAGAGAATAATTCAAGATAAGGAAGGTGAGACTAAATCAAGGAAGGTAAGCAAAGGAATAAAATAGTCAGTTACTGAATTTTAAACTGTTTGGGACACAGTAAAGTGGCAGAATTAACACTGCAAAATAATGGAATCAGTAAATTTTAAGGGAGTTAATTTATATACATACATAGGTGTATACACACAAACAGGTTGAAACAATTTGGAGATCTGCTTGGAACATCGAGGGTTCTGGGAGACATGTCCGTTTTTAATGGAAGCTAAGCACTAAGGTAGGTAAAGCAGAGAGATAGGAGCCTAGATTCTTGAAGATACTAGTGACCTGCCATACCAACCCTTTACTGCCTACTTCTGGACTTCATGGACAGGACAGGAAAATGTACTTCTATCTAAATTAAACCATTGGTTTTTACTTATTTTTTATATGCAGCCCAAACTAATTTTGTGGTGGTGGTGTTGTTAGATGCCATCAAATCGGTTCCAACTCATAACGACCCTGTAACAGAAGGAAATACCGCCCGGTCCTGCACCCTCCTCACAATCGTTGCTATGCGGTTGGGGGATTATCAGTGGATGTACATTTTATCCCTATCCTCCCTAGTTCCCATAACCATATATAATTGGGGAACGACTGCATCAGATGGACAGTAAACAGCTGGCAGCTTAGCTGTACTAAAATCAGATCAACTACCTGTGTTTCTCTCTTTCCTCATCCATTTCTTTATACTGTTGGTGTTAGGTGCCATTGAGTCAGTTCTGACTCACAGCGACCCTATCTATAATAGAACAAAACACCGCCTGGTCCTGTGCCATCCTCACAATCTTTCTTATGCTTGAGCCCACTGTTGCAGCCACTGTGTCAATCCATCTCATTGAGGGTCTTCCTCTTTTTCACTGACCCTCTACTTTACCAAGCATGATGTCCTCCAGGGACTGATCCCTTCTGACAACATGTCCAAAGTATGTAAGATGTAATCTCGCCATCCTTCCTTCTAAAGGGTGTTCTGGTTGTGCTTCTTCCAAGACAGATATGTTTGTTCTTTTGGCAGCCCATGGTATATTCAATATTGTTCGCCAACACAATTAAAGTCGTCAATTCTTGTTCAGTCTCCCTCATTCATTGTCCAGCTTTCGCATGCATATGAGGTGACTGAAAATACCATGGCTTGGGTCAGGCGCACCTCAGTCTTCAAGGTGATATCTGTGCTTTTCAACACTTTAAAGAGGTCTTTTGCAGCAGATTTGCCCAATATAATGCCTCTTTTGATTTCTTGACTGCTGCTTCCACGGGTATTGATTGTGGATCCAAGTAAAATTAAATCCTTGACAATTTCAATCTTTTTTCCGTTTATCATGAGGTTGCTTATTGGTCCAGTTGTGAGGATTTTTGTTTTCTTTATGTTGAGGTGTAATCCATACTGCAGCCTGTGGTCACTGATCTTCATCAGTATGTACTTCAAGTCCTCTACTTTCAGCAAGCAAGGTTGTGTCATCTGCATATTGCAGGTTTTTAATGAGTCTTCCTCTAATCCTGATGCCACTTTCTTCTTCATATAGTCCCGCTTCTTGGATTATTTGCTCATCATACAGAGTGAAAATGCACTCATATGTTACTTAATTAAAAATTTTAAAGGTAACAGACATGCTTCAAAAATCTTAAGAAAACATGAGATTTTCTGGATAAAAATAATAACTAAATCTTCATGAAATAAGTCACTATTTGTTAGAGTTAGAAATTAATACATCTAGGTAAAGAAAAATACTTTGTTATAATTTATTCACTTGTTTGCATAATTTTCACATTTCTAAACTGTAATCACTTACATGTAGGGGACAGGTTTTCCCTCTTCTCTCTCATCTCCTGTAATCTCTTCTCCATTGCACTGTGATGGTAACTGTTCGTTTTAACTGTGGGGCTATACAGCAACGATCCATTAGGTGCAAACAAGAGAGCAGGTACATCACTATCTGAAAGTAAATAAAAATTCAATTTGAAGCTAAAAAAACGCCTCAATACTTCACCAATATGATTTCTTTCAAGGAGATGTTTCTTGGAAAACAGAAGTCCCCCCTCCTCACCCCCAATCGTTTTCTGAGCTCTCAGCACCATTATCTACGAGCAGTACCGTTCCACACCACCACCGCGGTCAGTACCACTGCCGCCGCCACTGCTAGGAACACTTACCGCGCAGTTCACCACGTGCCAGCACGGTGCTTAGCACAATACATGCATTGTCTCATTTGACTGTCCCCCAAACCCAGTGCATTAGGCATCAGTATCCCCATTTACAGATGAAAAAATGAGAAAAAGAAGTTAACTAACTTAGGAAAAGAAGAATCATGCAACTAATAGGGTAAAGCCAGAATGGAACGTGGCGCCTAAATATGGGTCCACAGCCATGGTTTCTCCCCCAGGGTTCCAAAACCACCACCACCAACCACCGCCCCCACCCTCAACACACACACCAACTGACCCATGAATGAACCTGACTGCATGCAGTGGGGTTAGGGTCGTCCTTGCATCATGAAATTAATGGGCCTAGCTGTGAGTGAGTGCAGATTTGTGGGTTTGTTTTTCTTTTTTTCAGGAATCTGTACCTTACATATGCTCAAAGAGGATTCTGAACCCCTACCCCAGTAAAAAAAGACCAAGCATTACATAATATTTTCTCCTTTGCAAATCTTAAAAACCAAACCAGCTTCTGTCAAGTCGACTCAGGCTCATGGCGACCCCACATGTGTCAGAACAGAATTGTGCTCCATGGGGTTTTCAATGGCTGATTTTTCAGAAGTAGATTGCCCGGCCTTTCTTCTGAGGTGCATCTGGGTGGACCTGAACCTCCAACCTTTTGGTTAGCAGCTAACAGCATTAACCATTTGTACCACCCAGGGACTCCCTGCAACTCCTAGGCCTGGAAATTCCTACTGTACTTCTGACAGTACATTATTTGAATTATTAATACCTTGTATTTGCGGTTTTTAAAAGGCAATTTCTATTAAGACATATATTTGGTCTAAAAATAAATTTTTGTACCTAACATTACAAGTTTGCCAAATTCTTTTCAAGTACACCTGTCACTGATAATAGAAAAGAAGGCCAGAGTGGCAAAAGTATAAAGAATAATAGGAGAATGGTGTGGCGCTGATTTGAGGCGAGGGGAGTAGGCCAGGTCATATAGGACCTACTAGGTCACAGAACACGTTAACTATAGGATTTTATCCTGAACACTCTGTCCTTAGGATGACACTGAAGAATTCTAACCCTGAGGCACAGCGTGTCCATTTGACTTCAGATTTTGCATCATTCTGAATAAAATATGGAAGATGGATTACAAGGACACAAGACTGGATGTGAAGCAGCTGCTGCAACGGTACAGACAAGGGATGATGCAGGCTTGGACTAAGAGAATGGAGAAGGAAAAACAGAAGGCTTCTATTATTTCAGAAGCGGGGTCTATGGGTCTCGGTGGACAATCAGTGTCAAGGTAGAAAGACATGTCCAGGTAACTGCACGTTTCTGGCTCGAGGAGCTAGGCAGATCATACCGTTAATGTGGATTTGTCAGGGAAGCACCAGAATGCCAGCCAGAGGACAGGAGACTTGATTCATTAGGCAAAGGGATGACTGAGCATGAAAATAAGTGATAAAGGCAATGTCTTTGGAAAATCATCTGCCAACACTGTGCAGGCCAAATGCTCTACTCAATTCCTGTTGTATTCTCATCAGATTTAAAGTAAAACTGAATAATTCTATTGCAACAATTTCAAAATATAAAGTAGAGAATCTGAAACATAGTAATATAGACTGAAATAAAGAAACAACTAGAGGAATCGGTGCTTTTTCTTACTATATTAAGTCACTGTATGATTTTAAAAATTGCTTATTTGTACTAGTGTCATGTCAGAACACTAAATTTAGAGTATAGTGAGATGGGAAAAAAAAAAAAAAAAGGAACATCAAAAACACAATTTCATGATGTCCTAATTTTTTTTTTAAATCATTAAAGGCTATAAACAAGTCTCCTGGAGACTAGTTATATTCTATTTTCTACTTTCTAGCCAAAAACTACTGCAGTCTCAATGAGCTGTCTCATCCTGAGTGTTAATGGTCATCGGGCAAACTAAACAAGATGTACGAACAGAAACACAAAGGACAACATACATTTCTCGCTTACCTAGAGTTGTTTTTTGCCTTTGTAGCTCTTTAGTCATTTTCTCAAATTTCTTTTGAAGTCTTTTATCATTTTCTGGTGTTTTGGGAATAAAATCTTTGGGCTGCATACACTTACGCTGTACAAAAGAGACATATAAATTAATAACTGTACTGGGCAGGAAAAGAATTCTTTCATGCATGTTTCTAATATCTTTTATATCAACAATAAAAACCTTTTAAAGGTCTCTTTTGCACTGTGTGAAATGGCAATATTTATTTCTTTCTGTGCAACTATAAAAAAAAAAAAATGGACAGAATTTTAAAAGATGAAGAAGAGGGCTCTACATTAAGTAATTATGTTTTCTGGGACCTTTTCAGAATCATAGCATTCTTAGTTTGAAGGAAGATTCTTAATTTAAAAATAAAACCAGTCTGTCTTTTTATTTATTTCTCACCCTTACATCATCTCCCTTCCCCTAAGAAAGCACAGCACAGGAATAAAACACAAGAGCAACTACCAAAAGAGAAAAAAGAATCACTTATTTAATCCTGTCTTACTGTCTCTACATCACAGTAAGTCCATTAGGCCAGTAAAAACGAGAAACTACAAACTACACATACAAGGTGTGAAAAATAAGGAAACTTCAAACACATGAACTCACAGCCTGACAGTCACAAGAAAGTCTTCTAATCTTATCACCCTCAGATAAAAAGGGAAAAATGTCCCCTTCAAAACTACCCCTTATATTCACAACCTTACTCACTTTCTTGTCTTCAGAACTACCCTTTATTTCCCATCTCCAGCCAGCCATCACCACAAGTACAAAAATTGAACTTCACCTCAATTTTCCTACCACTACTTCTACGCTTGACTTCTCTCTTCAAGGGCACAAGAGAAATATAAATGTTCTGTCTAGGTCTCTCTTGGTTTTAGGTTTTTATGTTAAACCTACCAGCCCAAATTTACTTGTATTAGTACCTAGTCTAACCACCTTTACTACAATCTTGGAAAAGAACTTCTTTTAGTCATTTTACAGCTACACTTGTGTTCTTGATTCAGGATCTTGCTCTATTAGTTATTTACTCATTCGTTTAACACAAATGTTATTCATGTGTCAGACACTGGTTTTAATACACATCAGTGAGCAAAAATAAAGATTCTTGCTATTTACTCATTCATTTAACACAAATGTTATTCATGTGTCAGACACTGGTCTTAATATATACATCAGTGAACGAAAATAAAGATTCTTGCCATCATAGAGCTTATATTCTAGAAAAGAATGACAGAAAATAAATATACTTATTATGTTTACTTCCCAAGTTAGGGAAGTTTATCAAGTAAATGACACAGTGTATGTGCTGAGAGGGTTAATTCCAGGAGGCCTGAACTGTTTTGCTAAAGTACCTACACAGCACTGACCACTACTCAAGGTATGAAATATACTAATTAATAGTGTTGATGTGGTTACCATGGATCCAAGGAGTTTGGGGGCAGTTTTATTAACAGTGAGACTGATGACTTGCCTGGAGGGCTCTGCCACTGTAGCTGGTAATACAGCAACATATGCCCAGACGACCAGCAGAGTATACATAACAAGTCCCAGCCAAGAATTTTATGCTCCCTGGTTACAAGGTGTTCTGTGCACACCTCCGTGGCCCCTAATCTATGGACATGCACCTAACAGCCCCTACAGAAGGGGGACAGTTGGAACCCCCACATGGCCTATCAGGACCCTCTGCTGCGAGGCAGCCTCTGGCAGTGATGTATATCCTTGTTTCAATGCTGTTCCTATACTGCATCCTCTTCCAGCAACAAACTGCAGATTTGTAAGCATTGTTATTTTGGGGTCCTCTGAATTTTCTTTAGCAACCAAGCCCAACCTAACTGCCAGCGTTAATTAGTGCAGTATGTTAGAAAGGGGTAGACAGTATACATTAAAAAGAAAAAGAAGCTTAGCCTAAGCAGGACAGCTGGCCTAAGTAGGAAGGCCTTGCTATCTTAAGTGGGTGGTCAGGGTGGGTCTCATTGAGAAAACATCATTTAAACAAAGCCACGAAGAAGTTAGAAAACTAGCCATATAGATGGATTTTGGGAAGAAGAATGTTCCAGATAGAGGAAGCAGACAATGGAATGGCTCCAAGGTAAAAGCAAGCAAGCCAGTATGGCTGGCAACAGAATGTGTGAGGGAGAGAGAAGCAGAGAACCTCTTCACAGAACACAAAACAATAGGGTCTGGAGTAATGTATAATTTGCAATTGCCATTTGGGAAAGGAAAGGAAAGGCAATGTTTTTAGATATGAGTCAAAATTTAAATGGTAAATGTATGAGAAGTTATTATTTATACTGCAGACTAGGAAATATTAAAAAGATTAATAATATTTAGCATTGGTGAGAGTGTCAGGAAATAGGTACTCTTGTATGCTATTGATGGAATTGTTAAAATGCAAAGTGTATACATTTTGACCCAGTAATTTCACTTCTAGATAACCAACCTGGAGAAATAAGCTCAAATAGGTCATATAAATAAAGCACTTACCAAAAACAGACAATGATTTAAAGATGTGTGAATAGGAGAAAAGTATAATATGATGCAGAAAAATCAACAGAGTTTTATATATATGTATATGTATCTATATATATACATATATAGAGAAAATGATATGTATATACATATATATATACATACACACAGAGAGGAAATGATCAAAAACATACTGTTAAGTAAAAAAAAAAAAAATTTTTAAAGTACAGGCAGCAGGACACTATTCATGTAAAATGTGTGTGTGTGAATATATAATCTAAATGTATTTAAACCAACCTGATTCAGTTGACACAAGTCAAATTGAACACTCCTAATTTTGAGGGAAGAGAGTGATATTCTTGTGGAAATCAAAAGGGATTTTTGCATTATAATTGTTTATCAAATGTTTTACAATGAAGATATGCATGTAGTATTACTAACATATTTAAAAATAAATACTTTATTCTTAAAATACTAGGCAAACTCAGTAGTCAGAGTATCACAGAACATAAGACACTCTTCTGAATACTCTTGCCCACCTATAATCAGACAAGAAGGTTTGGGTGGAGATTAAAGGAATTTTTTCCATTGCTGCACTATCAAATTTTGGTTTGTCTGAGATGAAATGTAATGGATATATATGAATTAATATTTTCAGAAAATTTGGAAAAGTCCATAGCTATTTCTCTTTTAATCTACAGCTAATTCAATTTGGAGAAAGTCTTAAAATCTTTTCTCCAACACAGATTCTCATTTGAAAACAAAGTGACTAATGGATATTTCATAGTAGCCAAGTTTACCCTCCAATAAAGAAAGCACAATTAGAAACCTTTAAATAAATAAAAAACACAAAAAGCTTCAATGTTTAGTTTAAATGTGAATTCAACCTCAAATGAAAGTTGAGTGGTTAACTATATTTGTAAAGCAGATTTTCTTTAATAAGTAGCTTTGAACAGCCTCATGTGGATATATCTGCTTCAGACTTTGGAGATTTTCAGGCCAAACTGAAGAAAGGCATTTTACTACTGATATACCAAACTAAATTCTGAAGCAGTTACTAGAGCACCTGAACGTTTGCTGGTCTCTTGCCAATTTTCGTTTACCCCTAGTGTGTAATAAAGAGTTGGGCTAGCCTCCGTCCCAGGCTCCCAGGAGGTAACCTGTAAACCTGTGTAGTAAAGAATTGGGCTAGCCTTTTCTTTAGAACTGGGATAATCAGGTAATCTCTGAACACCTGGAATTTCCCAAGTGACTGGAGTATCTTTGTTATTCTTGGTGAGCACCTCATACACACCTGATAGTTTACTAACAAGGTGACACATGGTGGGCTTCTTGATAGTTTATGGTAATGAGATGACCCAGGAGGGGGGCTAGCCAGGCCAGGAGACCAACCATGTGGTTGCAGAGTTGGAGCTTTAAGCCACAGGCTATCCGCCCAACCTCCAGAGAGAAGAGGCAGGCTGGAGACAGAGTTCAATCACACGGACAATGGCTTGATCAACCATACCTATGTAGTAAAGTCTCAATAAAAACTCTGAACGCTGAGGCTCGGGTAAATTTCCCTGACTGACAATATCTACCTATCGTCACACATTGATATGCTGGGAGAGTGACTTGTCCCCAAGGACAATGCAAGTTTTGCATTTGGGACCCTCCCAGGCCTTGCCCTATGCCTCTCTTCCTCTGGCTGGTTCAGATTTGCACCCTTTTGCGGTAATAAAACTGTAATTTTAAGTACAGCACTTTCCTGAGTTCTGTGAGTCGTTCCAGCAAATTATCAAATCTGAGGTGCAGTGGAAACCCCTGAATTTCTAGCCAACTGGTCAGAGTGAGGGTGGCCTGGGCATTCCTGAGCTCATGCTGATGTATGAACTGAGAGAAGACTGTGCCCTTAACCTGTGAGACTTCTGCTGACTCTGGGTGACTAGTTCAGAAGTCATTGTACCTTGGCCAATCATACTTCCATTTCCCTGCAAATAAAGTATTTATAGGATACAATAATCTCTATAATTCACTAAAAAATGCTATTTGAAAACAACAATAATACATAACTGCTTAATACCAAAAAAGCTTACGTAAGACAACTCGAGTGTATTTATAGAAGATTCATTTTCTAGGAATAAAAATAAGAAAGAATAAATTCATAATTGTCATAGTCTATATTGAAATCACATACTTACTTTTTTTTTAATTAGGCTTGGTAGCTGTTCATTAGTGTTAGCTGCAGGGAATAATGATTCATCAATGTGTACTCCAGCTGTCCTGCATCTGTATAATTAAAGTACTTTAATGAGTATTTGTTTCTGTTATATTCATACAGCAATAAATCTGCATGTGTGACAGCACTTTAAGATATATGTACATGGGCCATTTTAATAGGCATTTCTATTAAAATAAGTACATGTATTACCAAATACAAAACTCCAAAATCTGTATGTGAGTAGCAATGAGAGGCAGGTAACCAAAAAAAAAAAATCAAACTCGTTGCCATCAAGTCGATTCCAACTCATAGCGACCCTACAGGACAGAGTAGAACCGCCCTGAAGGGTTTACAAGGAGCGGCTGGTGGATTCGAACTGCCGGCCTTTTGGTTAGCAGCCAAGCTCTTGACTACGGCGCCACCAGGGCACCTTAGACTTGTAACACACTACAAAATTACCAGTTCACAGCATTCATAAAGGTACATGCTATTCAAGGCCTAATTTAAAAGTAAACTGGTCATAAAGTGGATCATTTAGAGCTAACATGGTCCAAAGAAGTTGAGGTCGAAGAGTATATCTTTTCTCCAAAATCGGGTTCTCCTTTTTGTCTATTTCTGTCAAGGCACCGCCATCACCCCATAAAGCTAGGATTGAAATACCAGCTACTGTTAGCTATGCCTCCTCCTTCCATAATCAGTCTGTCCTCACATCTGTCATTTCTCCTTTCATAACACCATTCACAAGGAGCCTTGGTGGCACAGTGGTTAAAGCGATCAACTGCTAACCAAAGGTCAGCGGTTTGAAAACACGGGCAGCTGCATAGGAGAAAGATGTGGCAGTCTGCTTCCACAGAGATTTACGGCCTCAGAAACCCTACGGGGTCGCCATGAGTCAGAATCAACTCGACAACAATGGGTTTGCTTTTGGGTTAATATCATTCACATCCTTCCTATCTTTGGATTTCCTCCACCATTATCTTGTTGTAAGTACTTATTAACTCAAATCTAAATAATGATTTTCTGATTTCCTGTCCTATCGTTTCTCTTCTAAATTCATCCATATATTATTGAAATATTTATCTTAAAAGATTTTACCCCAACCCAGCTCAAATATCTTCAATAACTCCCCTATTTACAGAACAATCTCATCCATCTGTTAAGTTTAAGTCTTTCTATGATATGGCCGCTACCACATCTCCAACAATACTTCATGTAAGATGATCACTGCTCAACGTCTAATATGCAAAACAGATATTTGAACAAATAATTAAAATACAGTGCAATAAAAAATGGAGCAAACGTATCCATACTAATACAGAACGCTCTCTGAACACAGTTAAGAACAAAAGAAAGTTTCAGAAGTATATGTGTGTGTGTGTATGTGTGTGTACAGTATGGTATATGTAGTATGATTAAGCATTTTTCATTTAAAAGAAAAAGTCTGAAAGATTACACACCACACTGACAATAGTAGTTATCATTAGAGCAGGGATTCTCAAAGTACAGTCCCTGAGACCCTTCTAGCAGTACGCAAGGTCAAACCTACTTTTTAAGTAATACTAAGATGTGACTTTCCTTTCTCATTTCTCATTCTTTCCTGAGCGTACAATGGAGCTTATCAGAAGCTAAGGGGCATATGCTATCACAACAGAATGAATGCAGAAGTAGGTATGCAAATGAAGCTGTCTTCTATTAAGCCAGACATGAAAGGAATTTGCAAAAAAAAAACAAAAACAAAAAAAAACAGTGCAATAATTACAACAATACAAGTACAACAAGGTAGAGCAGGAGCAAAGAAAGAGAACATAATTGACACTAAAGGAACCAGAAAAGCTTTAGGTTGAAAATGATCACCAGAGTTCTGATGAGGAGGCAGATCTGGGAGGATGGAGATTTTATAGCTGGAAGAACAGCACAGGCAAAAGCACAGAGAAGTGAATAGCATGGTATTTTGGGAAAATCATACTGTTTCATATGACTGAGGTGAATGAATGGGGCTTAGACGATCAGTGATGGAAAAGAATTCTGGTAATGAAGAGGTGACCTATGTTCTGAGGGTTTTATTTACTAAGCTAATGAGCCTGGATCGTCCTGTAAGTTCCATGAAGTTAGGAGAAAGTCATGGACTGTCACTCTGAAGGACTGGTTCATGGAAGATGACACTGAAGGCAAGGAGATCAATCAGGGGGTTATTGTAATAATTGAGGTAGGAGATGCTGAAGATTTAAGCAAATACAGTGGGGACTGGGATTTGTCTTACATTAGACAGACAAGGAGTCACATTTGAGGTAACCTAATTTAAGGACTAAGGTGCACCTGACCCAAGCCATGGTGTTTTCAACCACCTTATATGCATGCATGTGAAAGCTGGACAACGAATAAGAAAGACTGAAGAGGAATAGATGCCTTTGAATTATGCTGTTGGTGAAGAGTACTGAATATACCATGGACTGCCAGAAGAACAAACAAATCTGTCTTGGAAAAAGTACAGACAGAATGCTCCTTAAAAGCGAGGATGGTGAGGCTTTGTCTCACATACTTTGGACATGTTATCAGGAGGGACCATTCCCTGGAGAAGGACATCATGCTTGGTAGAGGGTCAGCGAAAAAGAGGAAGACTCTCGACGAGATGGATTGACACAGTGGCTGCAACAATGGGCTCAAGCATACAATTGCGAGCATGGCACAGGACCAGGCAGTATTTTGTGCTGTTGTATGTAGGGTCGCTATGAGTCAGAACCGGCTCAAGGGCACCTAACAACCACAACAACTTTAGACAGACTGTCTAAAGTAGGTTACCTCAAATATGACTCCCTATTTGGGGTCTTAAAAGCTCATGAGCAGCCATCTAAGGTACATCTACTCATCCCACCCTATCTGGAGCAAAGGTGAATGAAGAAAACCAAAGACACAAGGGAAAGATTAGTCCAAAGAACTAATGGACCACAACTACCAACCCTTCACCAGACTCAGTTCAGCACCACTAGACGGTGTGTGGCTACCACCACCGACTGCTCTGACAAGGATCACAACAGAGGGTCCCAGACAGAGCTGGAGAAAAATGTAGAACAAAACTCAACTCATGAAAAAAAAAAAACAGACTCGCTGGTCTGACAGAGACTGGAGAAACTCTGGGAGTATGACCCCCAGACACCCTTTTAACTCAGTACTGCAGTCACTCCTGAAGTTCACCCTTCAGCCAAAGATTAGAAAGGCCTGTAAAACAAACAATTCACATAGCTCAACCATGTATACAAGACTAAATGGGCATACTAGCCCAAAAACAAAGACGAAAAGGCAGGAAGGGCCAGGAAAACTGGACAAAAGGAAATGGGGAACCCCAGGTCGAGAAGGGGAGAGTGTGGACACATAGCGGGGTTGGCAATCAATGTCACAAAACAATTTCTGTATTGTTTAATGAGAAATTAATTTGCTCTGTAAACTTTCACCTAAAGCACAATAAAATGTTTTTTAATGTGACTTTCTAGCTCAGCCCCTCCCTTGTTTCCTTCAGAGTACTTATAACTTGCAAATTTTTAATTTATTTATTTGTTTTCTCCATTAAAAAGTCCAGGAGGGTAAAGAATATGCCTGTCTAGTTACCACTCAAACTTCAATGCCAGGCAAAGAGTAAAATACTAAAAAAAAAATCAATGAATCAATAAATGTCACTGCAAATAGAAAAAGGAAAGATAAAAACTTTTGACCACCTTTTCTCATACCATCCACAAAAATAACAGTACAACACAGATCACAACCTAAACTTAAAAGATGAAACCATAAAAAAACCAGAAAAAAGTTCATGATTTCGGGATAGGCAAACATATTTAGATGGGATCAAAAGCACAAAGAAGAATATGATAAACTGAACTTTATCAAAATTAAAAATTTGTGTATTTTGAAAGACACAAGTAAGAAAATAAAAAGATAAGCTACAGACTGGGAGAAAATATTTACAATGTGTATATCTGACAGAAATACTGGTATCTAAAATATACTAAAATAGTCCATAACTCAATATTGTTTTTGAACCTTTTATTGTTGTTTAGGTGAAAGTTTACAGAGCAGATTAGTTTCCCATTCAACAATTTATACACAGCTTGTTTCGTGACATTGGTAGCAAACTCCTCCCTTCCTTCCTGGGTTCCCCGTGTCCATTCACCCAGCTTTCCTGCCCCTACTGTCCTTCTGAACTTTTGCTTTTGGGCAAATGCTGCCTTTTAGGTCTCATATAGTTGATTATTCTGGGGTATACATTCCTCACTGGTGTTACTGTTCATTTTATAAGCCTGTCTATTGTATGGCTATAATGTGATCTCCAGGAGTAATTTCAGTTCCAAGTCTGAAGGGTGTCTAAGGACCACAGTCTTTGGGGTCCCGCCAGTCTCTATCAGACCAGTAAGTCTGGTCTTAATTTATGAGTTTCAATTTTGTTCTACATTTCTCTCCCACTCTGTCCATGACCTACTACTGCGGTCCTGGTCAGAGTGGTCGGTAGTAGTAGCCGGGCACCATCTAATTCTTCTGGACTCAGGCTAGTGGAGGCCACGGTTCATGTGGTCTATTAGTCCTTTGGACTAAATGTTTCCTTGAGTCTTTGTTTTTCATCACTCTTCTTTGTTCTGGACAGGAAGTGACCAACGGTATGTTAGATGGCTGCTCACAAGCTTTTAAGACCCCAGTCGCTACTCGCCAAGTAGAATGTAGAACACTGGATATATGGATTATGGAAATGACATCGAGGATTGACCTAGATGTCCCCCTGAGACTATTGTTCCTAGCCCTCAATACAACTCAATATTAAGAAGACAAAAACACATTGTTTTTATGTGTGTGAAAGATTTAAACTAAAGACATTACACAAATAGTCAATTATCTGATGCTCAACACCATCAATCATCAGGGAAATGCAAATTAAAACCAGATGAGACCCTCACATTTATAGTCAATTAATTTCCAACAAGGATACCAAGACCATTCAATGGGGAAAGTATCCAATGCAAAAGAATGTAACTGGACCCCTACCTCACACCATGCACAATTAACTCAAAATAAAGATCTAGATATA